GTTGATGTTTCTCCAAAATGAGAGTAGTTAGGTTTAGCCCTCTTGGTTCCTCCCTCACTGCAGCGCCTCCGTCAAGGCAGCAACACAAGACTGATGTGGGTAGGTGATGAAAACCCTGCCACCAGGCACCATGTTGCCCAATGTCCTGTGGGACAGTATTCACGTCAGATGGGAAAGGGAGGTGGGGAAGAGTGTATGTGCAGCCAGGCAGAAGCGGAGCTCTCCTTGGTGACCCTGGATAGTTGGAGCTGTCTTTCCAACACTCGTGTGAGTAGGACTAGTCCCATGTCCCATGGGGAACAGGTAACTGGGTGACATATCCTCACAGGCTGGAGATTAGTGGCATATGAGCTCCATCCTGAGATAGCCCCAGAAGCTCACACATTGCAGACCCAGGGTGTGAGAGGGCCCCAGGGAATCTATTCCAGGGTTCATCCAAGACCCATGTGTGTGCTGGGTTAGACCACAGAGGGGATGTCCATTGTGTCCCATTGGTCTCGGTGTACTGAACAAAGCTGCTTTCATCCTGGATGTTCAGCCCTGGTTTTCATGGCTCGGCACCTTGTCCGGTCATTGACACCAGGGCAAAAAGAACGTAAAACCCTCCCATTGTGCTGTGTTGGCATTTCAGGCTCCTTGTCTCTGGCATAAGCTATGGCATGAAGTGCCATGCACTGGAGAATCAGGCCCGCTCTTTACACTAATGATTAACCCCACTTTGCACTGGTCTAGCAACATAAGAAGCCTTACGGTGGACATAAACACCTCCCGGCTCTTTGCCCTGCCGGGATGATGTCAAATGACTGCACTGTGAATGAGAAGCAGGACCCCTGGGTGTTTTGTTTTGGGTCCCTAGTGAGCAGGATGCAATTACATTAACCTCTGAGAAGCAAAGCCTTTCACAGAGCTTTTCCACTTCACTATCACACAGCTGCTGCAGCCTGATTGGACCTAGCCTCCACACTAAGCACATAGTGTACTTGTAAAGAAAGAAGTTTCCTACGGGCAAATATTCTCATTAACAACAGTCACCTTCCTGGACAAAAAGTACTATAGCTCAGCCCCAATGTGAAGCCCTGCAGCTCCATCTGTTCTGCTGTAGGGTCCAATGCTTCTTCCTATGATCTGCTTTGCTGGCCACACTGTGAGTAAGGAGGGCTGTGATAACCATCTCCAGGTCTCTGAAGTGTGAACAGCCAGGAGGACAGTCTGAGGACATGGAACTGGGAGGGCAGTAATGAAATTAAATGAAGGAAAACCCAGGCTAAGGAGCAAGAAAATGCAGACAAATGGTAGGCAGTGAAATGGTCTCCCAAAGGACAGTGTGGAGCCCTATTGTTTCAGCCCTCAAAATCAAGCTGGAGAAAACCCTGGGGAATAAACTCAGGAGGAACATCTTGGAGGTCTGTGGGCTGGGGCTTAGGGGATGGAGAAGGCTCCAGGTCCTGGGCATGACCTAAAACTGTGTCCTGCCAGGGTAGGGAGACCTGGTGGGGCTGCTGGTGGTGCAGCAGCCCTGTGAAATGCCAGGACTGCAAACCTCCCTGGTGAAAGGTGGGTTGGGGGTGCCTAATAACCTCCAGCCCCCTGCACAGTCCTAGCTGGGGAATGCCCACACCTGTGACTGCTTAGAGAGGCCTGTGGCTCAGTTGTTCTAGCTGAGTTGTGAGGGTAAAAGCAGGCAAGCAGCTTAGACCTGATCTGAGGGACCTTCACTGGTCCATGCTGGGGCCAGGACCCAGAGAGAGATTAAAGGGCCAGGGGCCGACTGAGGGTTGCCCAGAGAGCAAGAGGCTTGGGTTCCCGAATGCCTGAGATGGGGCCAGGGCCGAAGGGGGAGCTGACCCTCCCAGAGCGGGGACCACAGTTAATGGGGGAAGGGTACAGCTGAGTTTAGCTGCCTGAGATGCCATCTGCGAGGCTTGGGCTGCAGTGTAGGGGTGGAATGGAGCTGCAGCGATTCCCCTAAACATCAAGGTTCAAAATGGGCAGCTTCCTGCCTAGCTAACATTGTAATCATGTATTATCAAGGCACAGCAGGTGAGCGAGGTGGGTGGCTAGCCCAAAGACAGGTGGGCAGGCCAGCATCAAACCAGCCCCGGGAAGGCCCCTTGTTACAGGGCCCCTAAGCATCAGAGCAGGGATGCTCTGGACCAGCTTTCCCAGCAGTGAGAGCAAACACGACTGACTGGAAGATGGAGTTCCTTATGTTTATGGACTGTTTTTTATGAAGTGACTCCTGCTTTAGGACTGGAGGTGAACTACTCAGTTGATTAGACCATGGTGCTAATAACCCCAAGGTCACAGACTTGATCCCCAGTTGGAGTAGGTGAACAACTGACTTGTTGTGCTTCTCCTTGGGAAGTACAGAGGCCCTTCCTCACTGCCATCTCTTGCTTTGCCAGGAAGTTCACGTGCCTTGCTGGCTTTGCCAATGAAGGGAGGTCCTTTTAATGATGACTCAAAGCACAACCAGGAGACAGAGGCGGCATCTTGACAGGTCGAAAATTAGATGATTGTTGCTTCAGATGCCCACAAAGCAAGGTAAGCACCATCCCAGCCTCTGCTTGGAAAAGCTACTGTCACCTGCCCTGCCTGGGGGTTAATATCATGTTGCTTGTACTTCTCTAGCCTGAGGATTCCTGCATGCATGCATGAGGCCCATTTGGCTTAACTCTGCTGACCTAAATGAAGCTCCATCCTGGGGGAACTAGGGCCACTTTTTGTACCGTCGACCTTCCTTCCCCAGGTACATGGAGCCTGCGAGATTGGGGCAGATCTGCAGTCCCTCCAGCACAACAATCGCTTGTTCTCCCAGTTCACTGGAAGAAGGACAAGTCATCAGCTAAACCAGCAGCAGAAATTTAGACTGGGCATTAGGAAAAGCTCTTCAACAGTGTGTGTGTGGCTGGCCTAGGGGTGCTGTGTTTGATCCTGCCTCAGTGTGGGGCGGTGCACTAAATCAGCTGAGCCCAGCCTTCAGTGGGAAACATCAGTAGCTGCAGGCAACATCAGACTGTGCTCTTCCTGTCAGCCTCCCCTTTACCTGTTTAATTTCCTGTGGCTACAGGCAACACTGAGGAGGCTTACAGGCGTCCCGTTGTCCATGAAGCATGGGTTGGGGCTCTCAGGATCATTTTAGTAGAGATGTAGTTAGCCCTTTGCAGCATGGATGCTGGTCAGTGCCAGGTACTGCGGGGACCCTGCAGTTCCGGGATAACGGGCTCTTCTTTCCCTCCTTCCTTCCTTTTGGGGTCAGTTACTAATTGGACAAAGCCTACATTCACGTGCACATGTTCATACACTGTCCACAGAAGTGCTCGTGGGCTCCAGGATGAGAGAGGCATGGGGTTGGAAGCTCTTCTCTGCAAGGCAACTGATGAGCTTTCATGGGAGAAAGCAACCAGACACTGACACACTTCCCCAGTCTGCCTGCTGGGGAAGGCCCCATCCAGATTGGAGCCAGAAACAAGTTCTGCTGCTTGAGCCTGTTTCTGATTGCCGCATCTAATGGGGAGTTGGTATCTCACGGGATCTGGGAGCAGGTCAGTTGCTGTTCTCCCTGGAGCAGGGAGCGGCCACTTCATCCATTTAGTTTATTTGCTCTGTTCAGCTTTTGGCCCATATTACAGCCTGTCAGCACAAACTGGATCAAGTTCCCACCTGCTTCTCCCATTAAAAGCAGCCAGCACAGGGATATAATTAGAAACAATATTTCTGTTGACACTAACAGCACTCAATACCCACAGGATAAACATGCCAGGGCTAATACCATAGGGGTGATGTACTCAGAAGTGCTGTGACGTGCTTGCATCACGCCAGCCAGTTTAAGCTGCTGCACTAGTCTCGGGAGCAGATGGTAAATCTAGGGGCCCACTGCAGTGAAGGGAGAGGCTATGATTTCTGGCCCTACCACATGAAACCCAGCCTCCTGTCTTGTTGGCTGCAATGATGCCTGTGCAGAATGGACATTGCTAGAAAGGCATTGCTCTCCCCAGGGGTCCTGGGACAGAGGCAAGGAAAAAGTTACTGAGGGGCTTCTCCTCTCATCTGCCTTCCCTGTCAATGAAAGGACAGACTGTCTCCCTGGCTCAGCCCCCAGTTCAGTAGCTGAGTGCAGGGGATTGGGAATGGACCACCAGGCCAATCCCTGGCAGCTGCTACTTAGTGTCCTTGAGTATTCATGAACTGACTACCCATGCCTGGCCCCCCACCCTGACCTGTCCCCTAAGGATCTGAGCAGCAAGTCCAGTGCAAGTGTTGCACCATATCTGCTCCATCTGTTTCCTCTAGCAATATCCAACTGCTCCCCCATCAGCCCTGCAGGGCCCTCACAGTGACAGGAGCGTGAGCTCTAATCCAGTTGGGCTCATGCATTGCCAATAAACCTGAAGCCACACTGCAGAAAAAGGAGAGGCAGAAACTGGGGCCCCCAGAATCAGTGCAGAAGCACAGAGTCTTCCCATAGCAAGCACTGCATAGCCAGGGGACCCCATACCCCAACTGGGGCTGAGTCCCTAGGGCAGGCCCCACAGTCACCCTCCCTGAAACTATCCTGGGGGACATGCACTGGAGTCTAAGGGAAGCTGCTACCACCTGGGAAATGCACCTCAAATTAGTGCTTCTGACTGGTAGGACTAAAAGCCCTGTGCTGCAGTGACTGCCACTGTTGTTTGCTCATGCAGCACCTAACACAACAGGACCTGATTGCATCTGTCCTGCAGCACAGCGAGAGGGAGGTAGGGGCTGTGTAAACTAGAGAGAAGCCATTCCTGCTGGGCCCCTGGCATTTCAGGGACTGATATAGCCCTATGGGGGAGAGCAGAGGGAAGCACTGAGCAATAACTATTTTCCTACCAAGGCTGGGGGCTCAGAGTTCAACATAGCTCTCCAAGGCAGTGCCAGCCAAAACCAACAGTTTCTCTGCACAGGGCCCTGGTAGATTTGCTTCTCCAAGGGAAATCCCCAACCTGAAACAAAGATACCCAGCCCAGCATGTCAGAGCAAACCTTTTACTTCTGCTGGGAAGGATTTTAAATTAACAGGGGGGTCATGGGCCCCATTTGCATCTAGATATACAGGAGTAAAGCAGCTTTGAGCATATTGAACCAGAGCCTGTCGGAGGCCTGGCTTGTGTCAATGTGTGTATATGTAATTGGCAACCATTGATAAGCAGGTGAACACATCTACCTGAACGGCACTGTAGGGCCCTGGCTGCTGGAGGCTTTGAGAAGAAGCCTTGTGAGAAGTCTCATGCTATTTGGCATTTTCTCTGCAGCACCAGTCCCTGGAGCCAGGGGCTGACCCCACTGTCATCAAAAAGTACATTTCTAACGCTCATAGTTAGGAAGAAAAGCACAACAACAGGGGCCCTAAAAGTTGCAAGCTCCTGTGAGTGAGTGGAAGCCATGGAAGAGGTACCAGCATTCCCCTTTAACACCTCAGCAGTCCTCCAGGGCCTGGCTCAGGACTTCTTTGAGCACCTGGAGTCTGGAAGGCTGGAGATAGAGGTGGCACAGGACTGTACATGCCCTGCAGCACTGCCCTCTCCCCTGGTAACCTGGGCTGCAACTCCAGAGGGACACAAACAAGAGGTCCCACCCAGCATGGCCTGATCCTCTAGCATTCAAATGAGAACTCAGGCTGCCCTCTAGAACAGTGGTTCTCAACCTTTTTTGTACCATGACCCATTTGTAAACATCAAGGGTCAGTCCTGACCCAGTGCCTCTCACTCCTCACCCGCTGGTCCCACCCCCAGAGCCTACCCCACAGTGCATGGGGCAGGAGGGGCCCCAGCAGCCCCTTGCAGGCTGGAACTCTGACAGCCTACAAGGGAAAAGCTATGGTTTCCCACATTTTTCTCACTTTTAGTTTCTTGATCCATGTTCACGGCCCTTTCATATATTCTTGCAACCCACTTTTGGGTTGAGAAACACTGCTCTAGAACACTTCCCCAGGGAGCCCTCCTTTCCCAACACAAGACAGCTCATATGAGCTACCTCCTGCTCATCCAGCTCCCCCTATCATTCTTATGGCCTCAGCCCAGAGCACCTGTGGAAGCTGAGATTAACTCCTTGTTCACTGCAGACTAGGGTAAGCTTGCACAGCCTTTACAAGGAAGCCTGTCAAAGTCATTAGCTAACAGCACTTTGAACTGCCCAGTGGAATGCCAGGGGGAATCCTCTCTCTGCTCTGGCATTTGACAAGGTGGTTCAGCAGGCCTGCAGACAGGATCTGATTTTCTCTGGCCCTGCATGGGCCTTTGGGATGGTTTCTGCAGAGCTTCATGACCAAAAGGGCAAAAGGGGGCTGTAGCTGCACCTCGCCATCCCCTCCCCAATGGGCAGTAAAGCCACTCATTGGGCATCGTTCCCAGGGGCAGGCAGAACCCAGACCCAGAAGCAGAGATGTCTCAGGAGGGTCACAGGTGCACAAATCCCTCCACCCTTCTCCCCATCTTCCCTTTCCAAATATTGATCCCCTCCCCCCTGAACGCACCTACACCAAAATCTGATCCAGGCTGTTCCCTTTGCTTATTAAGAAGAGCGTTCCCCGCTCTTATGGGATTGGTAGCACTGTTCAGCAGACGTCTGTACACTGTACAAACGTGGCCAGTATCAGTGGTTCCCGGCAGGCAGCGAAGGCCCAGAAGCAGACTAAGTGACTTGCGCAGGATCATTCAGCTGGTCACTAGCACAGGTAGAGACTGATTCTGAGTCTCTTAAGTCCCAGCCTCGTGCACCATCCTGCCTGCCTTTTTTAAATGGTGCCTTTAGAAAGTCCCTCATCATGACGCTTCCTCACCTGCGTGCCAGGAGGGTGTTATCACCCTCATTTCACACAGCAGAAGCTGAGGCATAGAAAGATCAGCTGGGTTCAGAGATAGGAGAGTCTGGGCACCCTCCCTGTTCAACAAACAGCATGTGCCTGCTGAATATCAGAGGCAGGGCCATTAGTGTAAGCACTGGGTGTCTGTGTTCACACAGCAAGGACTGAGATTAGCCAGGGCTACCCCACCTGATGCCAAGACCACAGCCTGCTTTGCGAGCACCATCACTCAGGCACACGTGGGGAAAGTCTGCTCCAGGGCCAGCCGGTGAGCAGCAGGGCTCCACTGGGAATTCACTGACCTGCCAGAGTACTGGCTGGTAAAATGAGAGCAGAGAGGGCCAGAGATGTGAATTGGGGCCCCCTTGTCTTGGTGTGGCAGTGCAGCAACTTGAGGAGGACTATGCCGGGCGCTGAAAGGGCGGTGTAGAAGGTTAGTGAAGCAGGAAGGCTGTAGCAGCAACCAGGTATGGTTTGTGTGATTAGTCTGTTGGAGGCACTTTAGGGAAAGGCCAATGCCTTCAAGTGTCTGGAGATCTGCTGGATCAGCTGTGAGATGTGGCATCTAAACGCTGCAGTCTTCTCCTTTGGCTGAACACGAAGCTGGAGCTGCCAGGCCTACTCACTGCTCCGTCGGCCTCTTGGGTGTGTGTCAGGTCTCTCCATAAGACACGGTCAGCAGCATTTCCTCCTGGGCTGGTTGTCGGGAGTGAGCTTGATGGACTCTGTTAAGTAGTTCTCCAGAATCCCCTGGTGCTGGAAAACAGAAGATGAGACAAGCTTGGATTGGGAATTGTAATAAATCTCCAGTGATCAGGAGTGAGTTTCAGGGGTCTGAGAGATCCCAGGCTCAGTTGTGTTTGGTAGAGAAAATTAGGCAAAAGGAAAGAACTTCACATGATGGATGCCAGTCGCATTGCTCAATGCACTCAGGTGCTACAGCACAGGGCAGGGTATATCATTTCATTTGCCCATTATGGAATTATGGCTACATCAATAGGTAATAGATACTGCATTTATCTAATGACTTTAACTTAGCACCATTTCAGTACAAAGGGATTTGGTAATGTTAGCTCATTGTAAGCATGTAAGGTTCAGTGCAGACCAGCTCTCTCACTACTTCTAGCATAGCCTGGTACTTCAGTTACAAGGATAAACGGTTTCCCTTGCTCCAGCAAACATTTATGGGTATAAAATTCCAGGCCTAAGGCCTTTGTTGCATGGTAATTTTGGATGCCTCCTGGAGCTCTTAAATCCCTGGACTGTCTGCACATTAACACCTTAAAGTGGCTGTATAGCATACAAAAAACTAAAACTCTTTGTTCCATAATTATACCTTTTATTAGTTATGCCACTCCATGGCAGGATTATCTCCGATCTGTGCTACCCAGCTCCTGCTCCATTAAGGTGTGGCCACTCCACACAGATGTGCTGCCCAAGTTAAAGTCCTCTAGTATCCCAGGATCTCTCATACCCCCACCTGTAGCAAGTCACAGCTGTGCAGGTGGGGGACAGGCAGAGAAGGTTTCTAGGCTAAGGGTGTGACTGCTCCAAACTCCAAGCTACTACTCACACTAATCACCATTTATGCAGCTCACAGTGTAAAGTGTAATAGGCCCCTAAAATGGAGGCACTATTTCTAAATACCAAGTCCTTAAATCAAATGCTTTTCCTCCTTCCTTGATTTCATAGGGATGGCCACTAGGGAGCACCATTAACTAAAGTTCCAGTGTACACAGCTGTGTAAATTGCTTCACATCTGGACTCCTAGGATGAGTCAAAAGAATTTGCCCATGCTTTTAATGAGTACTGATTCCTTGACTTTTATTGTTCGTTCTTTTTGAAATAAGGAATATTCAGCACCGACTGTTTTCAGCAGGACAGTCATGAGATGGACTTAAAAAAACTTATTTCAGATAAAAATGTAGACTTCAGCTGTCCTATGTCAAAAGTAGGCGATGGTTAATGATAAATTAAGCTCTTGTTTAAAATCATAGGAAATGATAAAATCACAGGACTTGGAAATGGTGAATCGTGCTTGAATCTTAATCACCAGTTAAGGGAAGGCTGGGGTTTGAATCTAAGAACAAATTTAGGTGTCAATTGAAAGGACCAGAATCTCATTAGGTGTTTTAATCTGGACCAAATAGTGATAGTCTCCATAGAGCAGCTCTCAACCTTTTTTAGACTCCAGGTGCAACTTGGTCGACTCAAGGCACCCTTTGGAAAATGCCACCTTTTAGCTTTCACTCATTTTTGGACTACTCCTGTTGCTGCAAAAAAAAAAAAGAGTTCAGACTGGAGTGTTTTGGACACCCTGGTCTTCTGTTTGAAATCTCTGGGTTTACTTTGTGAATCATGCATAGGTGTTTGCACACCAAACAGTGCTAATATTGCGTGGCATCCCTCAGCACACTTAAAAGGAACTCTTGACACCCCATGGTGCTACAACACTGATTGAGAATGGCTGCCCTAGCTTGTCAGATCCAGTGAATGTTTCTTTACTGTATCTCTGCTGCTTTGTGACTTCTGCCTCAAAGTGAATGCTCCCCCGCCAGCTAGATGCTCAGTGGGGAGGGAAGCAGCCAGCCCTGCCCCCACAGGCACTGCTACTCACCCTTGCCAGGGCTTGTCTTGCGAGGGTCTCAAAAGCCTGTGCCACGTTAATGTCATTCTTGGCGCTGACTTCAAAATATGGGATGTCCTTTTCTTTGCACCAGGTTGAAGCAGCCTCCTGGGGCACCTGCAGGAGGGAATGAGGATGGGGTCATAGTATTGACTTGCAGGGGTTTCAGCTGCTCAGAAGATGAGACAATCCAGTGTGGGGGGTATTCAGCCTTTTCTTATGGTTCTCCTAAGCTCAGAGACCTCTGCGCTGTCCCCAACCATTTCACTCCAGTAAATGGGGAAAGTGTTGGGCTTGTTTTCTGAGAGACCAGGGTCCAACTGTTAAAAGTACTTAGGTGCCTTTCTGTGGGAGTCACGTGCCCCCGATCCACATAGAAGCCTGGGTGAGCTGAGGGGCTTCAGTACCTTTAGAAGGTGCACAGGATGTTGCTGAATTAGGGCCTGGACTTGTCCTGGCAGATGCTGAGCACTCGTGCATCAGGCCACAGTGCTCAGCAGTTCAGTGCTTGCTTGTCACTCCTGAAAGCTAGCCTGCTCCCTTGTCCTGAAGAGCATGAGCAGCTGCGTATCTTCTCTCTGAGCGGATCAGTGCAGCTGGATTCCCTGCTGTGTCTGGTGGGGACATCTGTGTAACATCAGGGCCAGCAGCAGCCTTACTGGGAGAGCTTGCTGCAGATGTTATGGTCTCCAGCAAAGCTCATGGGTGGATCTAGGGGTGGTTGAGGAAGGAGATTTCTTTCAGCTCTTGGAGAAGGGAGACTGGAACCAAACATCCCAGCTATCCTGTTGGAGATTTCCCTTCCCTGGCTTCAGACTGGAATTCCTACCTTGTTGGTGAATAAACCAAGTGAGCCTGGCTCCAGCTGTGTTAATGAAGACTGGCCTCTTTGAAAGCCATTCCTCATTTTGGATGGCTTAATATTTGGTGGCCCCAAAGGAGATACATGACAGGGCCCGAGTTTCCAGAAAGCAGGTGCTTGACACTTTCTAGGATTCGGGCTTCCTCAAGGTGTCTGCAGTTGGGCACCCAACATCATTAGCTGCTTTTCGATATTTAGGTGCTAACAAGGGGTGTAAGGAGGTGACATAATGTTTAAATGAATTCAGTGCTGGTGAGTAATAGCTGCCTGACAGAGGCTGGAGCCAGCATTTCCTACGCCACAGTACCAAGTGTGCTCCACCACAGACTAAAGACCCCATCCTGAGGGCTGTAACATTTCCTAAAAGATTTCTAGGGCACTTCTCTAAACCCCCACCCTCCCCAACTGCTTTGAGCCCTTGATGGTGCCCCGGGGCTCCCTCCTCACCTGCCGGTCGCTTATATCAATTTTATTTCCCAGCACCACCATGGGGAAGTCCTTCTCCTGGGAGAGAACCTTGTCCAGGAAGTCCTTTCTCCAGTCATCCATGGACTCGAAAGACTCCATGTCTGTGACGTCGAAGGCCAGCATGCAGCCATCTGAGCCCTTGTAAAATGTCGACACCATGGACCGGAACCGCTCCTGACCCCCCGTGTCCCAGATCTGCAAAGGGGAGAAGGGCAGGAGATGCACACACAGCATTAGTGCACATAAAATACCTGCATCCTATGACTCCATGAGGCAGCAGGAGTCTGGGATGAGCGCCTGCAGCTCAGACTGACTTCAGTACATTTCAGGGATGCTCAGCACAAGCCCTGCTCTGCTGGTGTCAATAGGAATATCTTGTGGTTGACTTAACTAGGGGATGGAGTAGGGGGCCTAAGAGACTGGGACTTGTGCAGCACCCTTTCTGGCCCACGTGCACCATGCTCATGCCTGGTCAGAAGGCTTTCAGGCTCCTTCTGTGTGCACTACTGCCTGAACCCCAAATAAGAGCGACTCACCTGCAGCTTGAGTGGGGTGTTGTCCACCATGATGACCTTGGTGAGGATGCTGGCTCCCAGCGTGGTCCTGTAATCTTCATAAAAGGTCTTGTGCACATACTGATGCAGGAGCGAGGTCTTTCCCACGCTGGTGTGGAGGGAGAGATGTACATAGAGATATGTGTTAGCCTTAGGATCTGTGCCTCACGGAGTGGGGATCAGGGAAAGTACAGTTACACATGCCCCCCCCCCCTCCACCCCGTACTGCTGTTAAAGGGACACGGCCAAACTCCAGCCTTTCCTATTCTGTCTTATCTTGTACCTTCCAGAGTTGGCCGTGGTCTTGGCTGTGTCTTAGACAAGGCTTGACTTACCCCAGTGCTCCAATGATGATAATTTTTAAATCCACTTTCTTATTGGAATTCATGAAAGGCACCTAGAGGAGGGAAAGCGCTGTGATTACTAGAGTTCCCAGCCCAGCCTGCTCCAGCACAGACCCAAGGGCACCTCCTAAAGGCTGTGACATTTCCAACCCTTCAGCCCCACCTCAGTGAAAGGGCCCCCTGGAAAGCCACCTGCCATGATGCTGAGCATCTGCATGTGCTTCTTGTCTCTCTCCCCAGCAACCCCCTCCCTTCCAGTGTGCTGCACTTTTCACTGCAACAAGAGGAGAGGGGGCAGGAAGCATTCAGCACAGCAACCCACACAGACAGCCAGCGCCGGCGACAAGGGACCTATTGTGACCAGGAAAATGGCCAACAAATCTATTAGTGTTTGTGATGTGTGCAGGAGGTAGTACCAAGCAGCATTCTTCAGCCACCGCTCCCCCCACTCATTTATCCCTGCCCCTGCCGGAATCACGGCTCTGCCTCCATGCCCTGAATGCGTGCTTGTTTGCGTATCGTTCTGGGCACTATTTTATCTTTGCAGCTCTGGGGACATTGGGTGAAACTGTGGCACCTTCCCCAGGACCATGACTGACAGATGGTCCCATGTCCTACTGAGACCATTTTTGCAGTTCTGCCTGTCCTTACTGTTCCCTGGTCCTGCCTTCTCTCCACCGTTGCCCACATGTCTGCTCATCCCATGCTGAAGCTGATCTCATTGTGTAGCTTGCTGACATGCTCTGGATGCATGCTAAAGGTCACCCCAAGTTGATCTACCTGTAAGTGGTAGCTGGTCATTTGGGCTGTGGAGTGGGAAGCAGCCAGACGTGAGACAGCTATATGTCTCCCTGCGTGCTGTTGGCTACCTCAGCTATGCCACCCCTAGGGTTCACAGGCTCTCGTGGACCTCTGACCTTTCTCTGTCTGATATTGTCTTATTCCAGCATAGGAACTGTGTAAGGCAGGAGTGTCTTGCTGCTTTTTGTGTGCAGTGCCTAGTGCTCTTTTGAGGCCCAGACATACAACTGCAAAAAGTTTTATCATAAAGACTAGTCATAGGGATCATCAGGGCGAGGAGCTTTCATGGAACTCCCTGGGCTTTGGCTTTCCTTCCACACCTGAGCCACTCCCATCCAGCAGGCCAAGCATCAGGGAAGGCTGGACAAAGATATTTGTTAAAAAGGAGTTTGTCAATGCTAGTCAGTCTTTCCTGGCTGCTTTCCAGCTATGATTTCATTAATCACTGCCTTGGGTGGCCTTTCCAAGCACCATCCTGGACTATTGAGAGCCGTTCAGAGGTGGAGAACAGAACCCAGAATCTGTGTGCTTGTGAATCATTCCTCCATGCAGCTGATGACTCATCCCTCTTTGGGCCAGGAGAAAGTTTCATTATTATAAAATACAAGGAAGCTAAAAAAAACCCCTGCCTTGTTTTAGCGATGTTGTTGTTCACATTTTCATTTAGCAGAGGTAGATTCCAAAGTGTCACTGTAACAGAGACCAGGTTGTATGTGTGGATTTGAACTTCTCCAAAACACATCTCTTTGGATCCAGGGTTCCAGGTTTTTGCTTCAAGCCCTTTCCCTGTGCAATGTGTTTGGAAGTCTTGCTGCAGGTAGAGAATGATGCATACTAAAACTTTGACCCAAATTCTTGGCTGTGGCAAAATGGCAGTACTCACTAGTCTTGGAAGCAACTTGTGGTCCCATTGTGCACTGATAACTTGAGACAAGCAGTGTTCAAGCTGGCAAACTTGGAGAAGAAAAGACTGTCCCATCAGGCATAAAGCAATGTCCAAGGAAGGACTACTTGAGCCTAGCATAGGGCAAATGTAACTACACATCAGTGCTCCCTTGGCATGCCCAGCAATAGCGTCTGCCAGAGGCAAATCCCTCTGGAAGTGTGCAGCTGGTGAATGATGCACCAGTAGGGCATGAGGAAGGAGAGACTTTCTCATCAACAGCTACTAATTCACTTGGGACTGTTAAGCGTGAGAGAAGGAAATCAATACCTGGTCCAACTGATGGATAAAAGGCCTCTAGGAAAGGATGCATGTGGATCCTGAACAGACTTCTGAGGCTGGCTGAATAAATAGAGGAGCAAATGGATATTCCCGCCCAGCAAAGCCAGGAGGCAGGCAGCGATGACCCTGCCATTTTGGGCTTAAGAGGCAATTTGTCCTGAATGAGTTTGCCAGTCCCCATGCAACTCCAGACCCAGAGCAAAATGCTCAGTGTCAGGAAGTAACACTTCTAGAGGCAGCTCATTGCTGCTCACCCTTTCAAGCTAGTGGCACCTATCACGGATCTTCAAGCTGTCCGCTGGGGAGTTGCTTGCACTTGGAAATTCCCTAGGCATCTGCTGAGAAACACCAGCAGGGTTTTATTTCTTTGTGTTGCCTTTAAATTCACATGGTGAATTGAGCATTGCCTGAACCTGTTGGCACTGAGCTGGGAGGATTGTGAATGGGGCAAATGAGTCGGCAGATCTGCCCGTAGCACGTTTCCACCTCCCACAGCAGCTCTGTCGAAGGGACTGTCAGCTGTGTTTCACACTAACCTGGGATTTTTCGGGCTATATGGGCCTATATCCACACACAAGAGTGGTTTGGCTGAACTCTCTACCTGCCTGTTCCACACTAATCAGGCCACTTTGGAAGCAGACTAACTTCCATGCAGGCTCAGTTGCTCTACTCCACTCCACGGGGGACATGGATGCATCCCCGGCCTGCCTTCCCTCTTCAGCTAACAGCTGGGAGACTTGCCCCTTCAGTGTCAGCTGATTGGGAGGCTGCTGCCTCACTCCAGTCTGCCAGTAAAAACCCAGTAACTAGTGTAATGGAAACAGCAACAGAAAGATTCATACCTTGAAGAGGAGCTGAGCTCACCTTTGTGCACCCCAAAGGGCAGGGATGAACTCTAAGCATTCTTCCTTTCCTCTAGAGGTCTCCTTTATGGTCTCATGTTAAATGAACATGTACCCAGCTGCCTCTGGTCAGTCTTTCAAGGGTGCTTGGCACCAAAGAGTGAGGCTGAAGTGAGCTGTTAGGTGCTGTACAGTTTTAGCTCATTCAATTCCTGCATCTGTGCAAAATGCCAAACCACCCCATAGAGGCCATAGTTGACATAAGCAGGTGGTAATTGTTCCATGTGTAAATCAGCCCATGTGCCTGTAGGTGCCAGGGCCTGTGTACCTGTGACTAGGAGTATGTGAGTCTTTGCACATGTCAAGGCACCCATGCATCAGTCAAGGGCACTGGCTGCCCTCCACGCTTTCTCTGGAGAGCCTTGCTTTAGTTTGGCATCCAGCTGCCATGCTGAATGCAGCAGGCAACATGGCATCAATAATAGCACCCAGTGCTTTTACGCTAAGGGCTCAGACATGTAAAAGAAGCTGCAGGCATGAAGCAACCTCCAGTGCAGTCCAGCTATGATATGAGCCAGGGTCCGTCAGAATGATTATTTTTTTAATTTTCCGTATTCCAAGCCAAATCAGCCAAATCAATTCCAAATCCATGAGTCAGTCCAGAACCATAAGTGGCCCTACTACCAGCAAACATCCTCCACCCCCATCTGGGGCTTCAGATGTTCCCAAATCCTTTGGCAGGCATCCTACTTGCAGGCCCAAGCCCAGAGGCTTGGGGTTCAGGTGCCTCCAAGTTTTGCCTGCCCTTAGCCATAAGGTCCCAGGGGCAAACTAGGGAAGTCTCTCATTTCCATAAAGTGGGCATAAAGCCAAGGTTAATTATGCATGACCTATGTGGATACTATCCTATGCCAGCAGAGCAGTCTTCCCTGGGTGTGACTAGGAAGCCACCATGGTGATTATGGTATTTCCCCTGCCAGAAAAGCGTAGGACTACGCTTGATCTGAGCCCACAAGAAGCCGAGAAGTCTCAGGGTCGGCCAGAAATCAGCATCTCTTGTAACTCTTGGGGTGGTTGCAAACCCAGGCCCCCACTGAAGAGCTCTCCACCACCCCCATCTAATGCTATTCATCTCTGTGAAGCTGCACCTGGGGTCTGAGAGCAGATCTGGGCCCCTGACTCGACTGGGATGAGACTTCCTTTGGTCCCACTTCTGGTTTATCAGGCCTTTCTCCCAGCCTCATACCCTTCCTAGGTTCTGTGCTGTCAGGCTTCTGGAGTGGCTTGTACCCAGACACAGCTTGGGGCAAGCTGGCTTCATCTCCTCTTCTGAGCTCGAGGGGGAGCCAGCTCTACCCCTGTGACCCAAACCCAATTGCAATGTCTTAGCAAACCTGAGTTTGCCTCCTGGGCTAAGATGCAGGGCAGCATGTGAGGGGAGGCTGAGGGAACTGGGCTTATTTAGTCTGGAGAAGAGAAGATTGAGAGGGGATTTAATAGCAAGCTTTAATTACCTGAAGGGTAATTCCAAAAAGGATGGAGCTAAACTGTTCCCATTGGTGGCAGATGACAGAACAAGGAGCAACGGGCTCAAGTTGCAGCAAGGGAGGTTTAGGTTAGATATTAGGAAAAACTTTCTCACAAGGAGGGTAGTGAAACACTGGAACAGGCTCCCCAGAGAGGTGGTGGTAACATCATCCTTGGAGGCTCTTAAGACCTGGCTAGACAAAGCCCTGGCTGGGATGATATAGTTGGGGCTGGTCCTGCTTTGAGCAGGGGGTTGGACTAGATATGACCTCCTGAAGTCCTTTCTGACCCTCATTTTCTGTGATTGTGTGTCTGAAACTGTTCTCCGCTAGAGGAAAGCCAGGCACCAACCAACACAGTCAGGTAAAGCAGCTAAAAATGTACCACACCTTCCTGGCCTGTCTGGGCAAGGCCCTGGTGAAGGAGCCTCCCCAAAGCACGTTCTTTCTCAGAGTGGCTAGCAGCAAGGGCACGCAGCCCTGGTTATACACTGCCCTGGAAGCACTTGTGCTCTCTGTGACATCCATTCACTGCTTTCCTGCCAGCCTTGCTGTGCTGGGCACCAAGTGCCACTATACCACACCTACCCTGTAACACCAGAGAGCCCTGAAGGACATCTCAAAGGCAGATGTGACCCTCAGAGTCCTGAAATGTGGCCTCTCAGTCCTGGAGGACTTGATTCCACCCAGCTGGATTCTTACTAGGCTCCATTGACCACGGGGATGCTCTGGGTCTTTGCTTTCCTCACTGGTGAAGCCAAGCAAAATCCGGCAGCTGTCTCAGAGGGGTGGGGGTGCAGGGGTTACAGCTGGTGATTTTGTGATTGTTCTTACAGTTATATGCACATAGATGGACATTAACAGTGGCCCCAGGGAGGCAGCAAGTTGCCAGTACAGACCACGCAGCCCGTTTGATTTGGCTAGCAGAGCTGTGTGACTCCACCTTGGGTGGTGGGGAAGGTCATCATCTTGCCATCCTTTCTGAAGCTGCCTGCCAGCAGGATGGAGCCTGTCTGGATCTGTGAAAAGTCAGGGACAGCTGGGTCTGGTGTCGGCCCTGTGTCAGGCAAACAGGGACAGTAGGCACAGACTGACTTGTATTTGATGCTAACAGCAAAGAAAGCAGTTAGAGAGGCCTTGGCCTGCCACTCTGCAGTGGTTCCCAGGGAGGGGGACTTGTAGAGGAGAGGAAAACCTGGAATGAGCCTTTTTTTGCTTCTTTCAGGCATACAGGGAAGGACTGAAAACAGGTGTGTTTACTTCAGTCCTTTTACTTAGCACTGTCAGAAATGTTGAACCTTTTTTTGGCTCTGAACTTGCAGGTGGGCAGGGAGCTCCATCAGCTTTGAACAGAAGGGGCAACTTTAACAAAGAATGCTTTCTGCCAACTGTTTGATAGGCACTGGAGTCCAATGGTAGCTCATAACAAGAGAGAAAAGAGTATTAAACAGGGTGGTGAGAAACCACTCCCATTGCATTTGATTAGAAGTGGAGTCGGGGATGCTGCACCCACCAGCAAGTTCTCTGCCTGGCCACAGAGTCTTCCCAAAAAGCCCAACAGACAAAACCAACTAATGTCATTACAAAAAGGGACCAATTGATGCTACCAGAAAATGCCGCCCTAAGAAGTGCTGCTAAATGAGCGTGAAACACCCCCCCCAACTTTTTTCATTACACAAGCAAACGCAAAGGCTTTTTTTGGTTTTCAGGCTGACAAAGAAACAAGAAAAAAAATCACCCAAAAGTTTCGTTCAGCCCATAATGAAATGTTTTCTTCGGTTTAGGGCAGCAGGAGTAAAGGGGAAGCGTTAGTTTTAATTTTCAACTTTTTTACTCAATTCAAGTAAAGTTTATCTCAAAAGAGAGTCCCCAAGTGAAAACTGGAACTTCACAAGGAAAGCTTTGGACTGCTCCTGGAGTTTCAGATCTTTTGGGGTGGGTTTTTTTTTTGCCAGGAGGATTCTTTTCTTTCTTCTTTCTTTGATTTGGTACATGTTTTTTTCGTACATGCCATTTTCTGAATAAACAATTTGCTTGGAAAGCTTTCTCCTAGCCCAGTTTCTCCAGCTCTGCTCTGCCCAAGGTCAGGTCTCAGCCTCCACTTGGCTAAACCAGCTGTCCCCTTGCTAGAGCAAGCCTCTGGTCTAGCCAGCTGGCAGCCCACTCTGCGGATGGACTGTGGTCCATCTGACTGCCTGGACTCTTCTCTAGCAGCACTTCCTCCTGCCTCTGGGTGCAGCCCAGCACTGAAGGGCCAAATGCGGTGGCCACCAATCAAGCCGAGACCTAGAATCACACCAGGGATGGGGGAGCCAGTCTGTAGATGTGGGCTAAGCCCCAGTGGGGGTGGAGAGGGTGCAGCACCTGTTGCTCCAGCCACCCAGTGACATGTGGCAGTGTGGAGCCCCAGCAGCAGATGGGAAGGCTCACTGACAAGATCCTGCCTCTGCATTTTTTCCTGATGTGTTGTCCTGAGCTGCCCTACTTTACAGGCTTGCCCCTGCCCAGACTGCTGTCTAGCCCATAGACAGGGATCCAGGCACTCTGGACCTTCTGTCAAGAGAGCCACATGTTTCTGTCTCCCCTGCCTGTTGTATGTCTACGCAGTCCCGGCTCTAGGCACTCAACCCCACCTCATGCTTTGCCAGGTTTAGAAACCTTTGCTTTGCTGGACTTTTAATTCAAAATGGACTTTGCAATCCTGGTTTCCCTGCTCTGGGGAACAGGCCATTCCGTGTCCGATCCCCTGGCTTCGCGACAGCCTGAGTTGCGGCATAACTATTTCAATCCACCGCCTGCCAAAATTCCACCGCTCCCCTACCAGAAAAAAGGGCAGCAAAGAAAAGGCACTTACATGCTGTGGCATTTGTTCTGTGAGATCTCCTGTCGCTGAAGGGACCTGCAGGCTGTCAGCTTCCCCACCGCCCTGGCCGCCACTCCCGTTCTCCGTTCTTTACTTGGCTTTCTAAAGAGTCAGGAGGGGCTGGGAGGAGGATCCAGGAAATTGCAGCTTCTCAGAGTATTTCCCTTTTTCTCTCCCTCGTTCTTCCCCTATCTAGATTCCCTGGCAGACAGTGAAGGGAAACGTGCTCAGGAGGCAAGCCAGAAGTTACATCAGCGAGAAAGGGGCTGAGATAATCAGATCTGGCTGGGGAATGTCTTTCCTACAGAGAATGAAGCAGAGCGTGTGTCTGCGAAGGGGGATCTGGGGCTGAAGTGAACTTCCTGGGCACCGACCGAGTGAGGAAATTAGTAGTTCTCCTGCACTTTTCCAGTCCTGAAAGGCACCCCCTCCCAGATCTGCACGTTTACCTCTACTTAGCTCTAGGTCTCTGCTTAGCTCTAGCGGTGTCTTCATTGTTAAAAAACAAAACAAACCAACAACAAACCTTGCTGCCACCATCTCTCTACTGACAGGGAGGAGAGGTCTGATGACGGGGCGAAAAAACAGAATCTTTTTCCAAGTTCTTTGCTTTCTTTTCTGTCACAGGGCTCCCAGTGCCTCTTATCTGCTGACCTCACCTCCAGCCGGGGCTGTTTTTGTCGTGGGCTTATTCAGGGCTGAAAAACACCCCATTAGTGATATCGGTATCGTCATTGTCACCTGAGCAAGTTCCCTGGACTTTGCCCAGTTAGCACTGATAAGGCCAAGTGGTAAGTCGCCTTGCGTGCCTAACATATCGGGTGGGGGGCAGCTCTGGTCAGCCATGGCAGGGAGTTGTCACCCTCCGAATGCGCTCAGGTAACTCTGGGCCTGTTTAGCTGGACAGCTGTTTCTGGGCAGTCCCAGCCGAGAGGCCTGGACTGCCCCTCCAGGAACTTTTGAGGAACACCATGCGGGTTAGGCTGTGGGGTCAGCTGTGCTGTGCTAAGTCATAGCTCTGGATCCCCACTTTACATGGAAACAGCAAGCATTATTTCTAATACTGCAGGTGGGGAAACTGAGGCACGGGGAAGCAAAGTGATTTGCTGGAAGTCCCTCAGTAGGGCTGGCCTGGAAATAAAACTCAGCTCTCCATTAGGTCGTGCTGCCTCCAGCAGTGGAGTCAACCTTTAGGAACATCAAGCCAGCCCTTCTCACCAGCTCTGTATTCGCCAAACCAGATAAAGCAGGGGTGGGCAAAATGTCGCCTGTGGGCCGAATGCGGCCCGCCAGGCCATTCTATCCGGCTTGAGGGGCCCCTGAAAATTTT